ACTTTAAAACATTGGCGTCCAAGTATGACATTCCTTGGTGAAAGTTTAGTAAACAGTCGGATAAAAGATTTTTAATTTATTTAATTAAGTTTTAAGACAACAATGTTATATGGTTTATTCACAATGAAGAGCATTTATAAATTCTTATATACGAGACAGAATAATTCTTATGAATACTGTACAAAAAAATCAAATGAACAAGATTTTACTGGAGTTTACAATTAAGGGCTTTTACTGCCAAGTATGAACCTCGATATATCCAAAACAAAGGCAAATCGGAAGAAAAATTATTTGTAATTTTTTTGCTTAGAATCCAATCACGAATGTTCATTTTTGGCCTCCTGGTATGAATCACCCTGTAAAATATATTTATTATGTTTACCGGTTTTGCTATTTTGTTTATTTTACAACTTTAAAACCATGAAAAGTGTACGAAAGGGTAAAATGTAATTACCCCAGAATAATTGGTTTGACTTAATACGTTCAATTAAAAACATATTAATATTAAACAATATTTTTTTCTTTTTAAACATTTAAACAATACTGCCGTGCTTAATGAAAACGCCGTAACCAACAATTTTGCGATTTTTGGTTTACGGCATTTTCTACTAGAACAATTCATCCTGCGTCTATCACCGGTACTCAAAAAACCGTATAGATATAGATACGGGTTTTTGAGTACCGGGGATAGACGCAGGATGAATTGTTCTAGTAGAAAATGCCGTAAACCAAAAATCGCAAAATTGTTGGTCCCGAAAATGGTGCAATAATGCTGTAGGAGAGAATATTTTACGTAAATATTTTTGTTTCAAATTAATAATCATTAATGTCTATAAAACTTGGCAACGCAGTGTAGGTATTTCCCAAAATCTAAAAACGGTTGCTATAGAAACAAAATAAACAGCGCATTTGCTGCGAGTTAAAGTTATCATGGTTGACAGTTTAACTTTTTAATTTTGAAACTTAATAAAATTGTCATCCTTTTATATAAATAGTCTTCAAACTACTCGTAGTTTTTTTATTCTTAACCCCTACTACAGCGTGGCAAACCGTTTTTAAACCTTTTTTGAGACACACTGTATTTAGTTATTTCATTTAACTGTAAAATATTTTTAAAGGTAATATCTCTATTTAAAGAGTTTCCATAGAATGTCTTCAAAATTTAATAGGATTCCAAGAAAATAATTTTAAAAGTTTCATTTGTTTTCATACGCCACAGACTGTGGCCCACAGTGTATTTTTAATCTCACGAGCTCGCTAATTAAAAATTAACGTTTTATTTTTAATAGATTTGCAACGCTGAATTTGCTCTCATGGCCTACTGTTATTTATTAATCAAACTCTTCAAATGGAGATACTACCCACGAAGACTAGAGACAGGAGTACAAACCGAGAAAAAAAGAAAACAAATTGGGTTTGTGCGCAATGCAGTGCGCACTGCAGTTTTATTTGATCTGTGCCGACGTATTTTGTCTCACAAAAATACGCGTCAAACATAGGAAGTTTGTACTTCTGCCACATGCAATGATTTTACTTACCTACCTTTTAGGACATGCAATACAAATAACAGATAAATAATAATTACATTTTTAAATAAATGATAACTTTAGGACTAATGAACTACCTGTAGGATAAACAAATAATAATATTACTTAATACAAATTATATTAGAATTACAAAGTTTCCTAGATCACGAAAGCATATTTACAAAAATGGCGGATGCGCCGGGGTAAAATTAATTTTAAGTTATACAAATATTTGTATTTTTTATTTTTAAATTTAAATTTGTTTTTTTATTATTTTTATTTTTATATTTGTTTATAAATAAAAATGGTAAATTTCATAAATCCAGTTAAATCAATTTTCTCGTAAAAGTTTTAAAATTTAATAATATTGATTATAATTTTCCCAGTAAATTCTAAAACACTTTGGTGTGATTTTATGTTTTTTAAAAGCTGTGAAATTAAATAACGATTGTAGCTTAAAAGTGTAGGTATATTTAATTAATACTTAAAATACTAAATTCTTAAATGTAAAAATTTATTGTGTGTGTGCCATCTAAAAATTTTGGTGTAACAGAGCCTAGAATTAAAAGTTTCACTTCTGGGCGATTCTCGACATTTTTAGTATACAGGGTGGAATTTTATTTGGGTGCAATTTATTATGTTTTATAATTCTCTGTTACTTCTGTTACATCAGAAAGTTTTTTGGTACTTAGTCCTAAGTAATTTTACTCAGAATAGTTAATTCTACTGCCTCATTTCTCACCGGATTTTCAATATCCCGCTAAGGGGTTGAAGTTACAGTGATAAAATTAATGTGTAAATATGTCCCCCTGAAAACACAGGCCCTGTATATTTTACTGGTTAATCTTTTTAAGCATTATTGACTATAAGAAGCCATTGTTAGCTTGCTGTACAATGTACAGTGTACATGCGATATAAAAGATATGGAAGTTTTCACATAAAATTGTTGATGAAATAGATAAAACTTCATATATTTCTCGTTTCTTTTATCTATTAATTAAGATGTCAAATAAAATAGCAAAACTGAGTGTAACTTTTAATTCTTAAACTCTATTTAATAAAAACCATGTGATGGTGGTGTAGTGCATATTATTACAATTTTTAGTGTAAATAAAAAAATCTGTGTTGTCTTGAAAAATTACAATTCATATTCATATTGTTGTACCTGATACTGATGCATACGCAGAATGCCTTCTCGGACTATAATAAGACGAGAATGCAGCTTTATACAAACGCCTCTCAAACGGGTCAAACGGATTGGGAACTAATCATAATAATCTATTAACATATATATTGTAAGTTTAAATTGATCGTTTACCTATTTTATACTACACGGATCACAAAAATCACAAAAATCTAAGCAAAAATATTTTTTTTTAATGCACTTTTATAATAAAAGGATGTCCATAACACAAAATATACTTTTAAGTCTATTGGACTTCCCTCTTATTTTCCAAAAGTATAGTTGATTAATGTGTATTAGGGTGTTTCATTTAAAACGAAATTTTTTTTTTCTTTCTGATACATAAAAATTTTGTTTTTTAGGTTGAAAAGAAAATTCCCGGAAAATTTGAGCCCTTAATTTTGATTCTAAGTAGGTACTTCCTTTTTAATTTTGTAGTTTTTCCATATAAAAAGCATGTATTTTTAATCATTTTTACTTTAAATTTCTATATTTATTATAATTTTTATCACCATAATTTCCTGCATAGTATTCACGGTTTTTGAAAGGCCCTGCATCAATTTTGTTTTTGATTTATTTACGTTGATTGTAGTAGCTCCAAAAGTCGTTTTTTCACTTTTTCTTACATATTTTTGAGAAAATCGAGCGAATGACTGGTTTTGCCGAAAAAGTTCAAATAAAAAAGTTGTAGAAAATTTAATTTTTGACAAAAAAGGTTCTTACGTTCATATCACTAAAGTGCTTTGTTTAAGAGATATAAGCAATTTAATAACCAAAAACAAAGAAAAAATAGATTTTATTGAAATTTATGTCTATGAAATTTGATTCAACTATATATCCAATTGATTACTTAAATTCAACACAATTAACATGGAAAAAATTAAAATTCCTTATTTAGTTAATTCTACAGTAGCTACAGTAAGTGGTGCTTACGGTAATTAAAAAGCTTTTTGAAGGTCAAACAAAACGGTAAATAAAGCAATCAAAGTATCTAACCAGAGGGCGCGATAAACAAGACAGTCAGTAAAAATTTTTTTAAGTGAGACGGAAGTTAATTGTGTTAAATTTAAGGAATCAATTAATATATAGTTGTTGAATCAAATTACATACCTATACATAAATTTCAATAAAACCTATTTTTTCTTTGTTTTTGGTTATTGAATTGCTTATATCTCTTAAACAAAGCACTTTAGTGATATGAACGTAAGAACCTTTTTTGTCAAAAATTAAATTTCCTTTTTTATTTGAACTTTTTCGGTAAAACCAGTCATTCGCTCGATTTTCTCAAAAATATGCGAGAAAAAGTAAAAAAACGACTTTTGAAGCTACTACAATCAACGTAAATAAATCAAAAACAAAATTGATGCAGGGCCTTTCAAAAACAATGAATACCATGCAGGAAATTATGGTGATAAAAATTATAATTCAAAACCCGGCCAAAATATAGAAATTTAAAGTAAAAATGATTAAAAATACATGCTTTTTATATGGAAAAACTACAAAATTAAAAAGGAAGCACTTAAAATCAGAATTAAGGGCTTAAATTTTCAGGGAATTTTTTTTTCAACCTAAAAAACAAAATTTTCATGTGTCAGGAAGAAAAAATGTGTATATTATTGTATTATGTAAAAAATAATGATACCTCATGCATTTTACCATTCAAAAACACATAAATATCGAAATTGTTGGTCCTTACATGAGTCCTGCTGATTTTTTTCCTCTGCAACGACCAGTCCTGCGTGTTCTGTTACAGGAAGGTTTTGCTGGTGGATGTCGTTGACGCAGTTGAGCATACTCCTGCAACACAACGTTTGGATTTTCCTTGTTGGATGGGTTAATTAGTTGCAGGAATTTTGGAATGCAGGAAGGATGTGTTTTTTGGTTTCGGATGTGCGCTAATTTTGTGCATTTTTGCATTCAAAACTAAGTATGTTTTTGACAATTTTATTTTTGTTTTTTTAATTATATAAAAAAATTGGCTGTATTCCTACATATATTTAATTTTGCATATTTATGTATTTTTTACAATATATATATTTATTTCATATATTTATACATGTTTTCTATATATATATTTATTTTTATAAATATATATATAAATTAATAAATTTATATTTAAATGTACAAATATATATTTGTATTTGGTTTTAATATATTTATAAAATTCGACTTCACCCGTTGATCGCTAGAGGCGCTGCTGAACTGATCAAATGTGTCAACGCTGTAGCTAGGGCCTCACCGAATTAGCCTATGGGAGGTTTTGTTTACTAATTTAAAATAACGGTAAACATTGTTTTCTCTGTGTTCTCATTATTTTATGATACAAAGATTTAATTTAAGTGTATGTTCTTTGGGTGTAGGTATCTTGGATTTAAAGCGCCTTTTAAACCGCTGTTGTATGGTTTTATTTAGGGAGACACGTAGATACCCGCAATATTCCGTTTTATTAATAATTTTAAAACACGGGGTAAATTTTTTTAACCACGCAGAGACCTTGCAGAACAAACCGTTATTTCAATTCGTAAACAAAAGCTCCTATTGTCTAATTGGGTGCAGCACTTGCTACAGCGTTGCCACATTTAATAAGTTGAGCAGCGCCTCTAGCGATCAAATGGTGAAGTCGAATTTCATAAATATATTAAAAGCAACTACAAATATATATTTGTGTATTTAAATTTATATTTAAAAAAAATAAATATATATATAAAAACAAATATTAAAATATGAAATACAAATACATATAAAGTAAAAAATAAATATATATTTAGTAAAAAATAAATATATATTCAAAATTATTTATATATTGGAGAGTTTAATTATGGCACAAACGGCGCCTCATAGTATTCAACTAAGCATTTTAATTAAAACAAAAATAAAAAATATAATCTGTTTATTGTATAATTGCAATTTTAATTGCTTTGTTATATAAAACTCTAAAAAACTTTATATGACATGAATAATATCATTTCGTCTATATCATAATATATTAAGAAAAAACTTACAAATAGTCAATATTTGTAATTTGTAATATCAACTATAAAGATATGTATTTTATCGGCTCATTATTTATTTATCGGCTGAAGTATTTGTTTTTTCCTGTAGGGCGGTCCCGTTTGAACTGAAAATAAAAATAAATAAAAAAAAATTATCAAATAAATAAATACAAATTTTAATCAAAAGAAAAATAATGTTTTATAACTTAACAAAATTATATATTTTTTCTACTCCCACTTTCAAAACGCCCATTATAGTACATGTTTCCATGACACTAAGTGATCTTTTAAATACATATTGACAAGTTGTGGCTTTATGGCGCCTTAGTCACGGGCTAGTTTTAAGTTAGTTGACAGTTCTCAAAGGTCATACAATCGTTAAAATAAAGTGCCCTTCTTGTGAAATAATAATGTGGAAATTATTTTATTATCTTAATACAAAAATAAAAAGTATTACCTATTTGAAAAGTTTATATGATTATTCCGGTAGTAAACTAGATTTAACTAAAAGAATTACAAATTTTGGGTGGAGACTCCACTGAAAAACTGCTTCATTATTTAAACGGTTGTTAGTCCATTTCAAGGGATAAATTTTAATTTACATATACAAATTTGACATTTTGACTGGAGCGCCGGTAATACATATTCCCAAGTTAGAAATTGTTACGCGAGTTACTCTTTTTTTATAGATGTTTAATTTAATTTACTTCATTTTTAAATAAAAATAAGTATTTGTCGTAGAAAAAGTTTAGTATGCAACTCGTTTATAAACTTTTCTAGACACTCATTTAATTAAACACTCGCTTGCAAGCTCGCTTGTGCCTAATTAAAATAATAATTAATTCTATTTGTTTTTACAGATTTTTCTGTAATTATTAGGATTTTTTAAAATCTTTTAATTGATGTTTTCCATATTTAATTTTTTCTGATATTATATTTAAAGTTTTTTTTAATAATTTTCCTATAACTAGGATAATTTTTATCTGATCAAGTTACAACTTTGACATGTTAGAGTGACCACAAGCAACTACAACTATTGTGATTTTCATCAAAATTCAACCATTATTTTTGATCTTGCAACCACTTAAATTTCATAAAATAATGAAACATGTTTCTTATTTAAAATCTCCATAACATTTTATATACTTTGTTTTAGACCCGATAAAATTTATCGCTGAACAATTTTTTTACGGATATTATTTTTGGAATCAGCGGGCCAAAAATACATTACAAAACATACTAAAAACTTTTCGCTAAATGTATAGGTCGACAAAATGAATTTTTTTTTTGCCTCAGGAAGCCAACAACTTTTTCAGGGTAACTTAATTGAAAAAGAAAAAAGAAATTTTTTTTAATTTGTTAATTTATTTTTATTTGAAAATGGTGAACTTATTAGGTAGAATACTAGAAAATTTTATATTCTGCAAAAAAATGCACTCAAAAAATTGGGACGACCATGTCTAATACACTCATAAATAAAAATTTAAAATGTTTAAAATTCAGCATAAAAATTAGGTAAGCATACAAAATTTTATAATTTTATCTGAAACTATTTCGAAAATAATAATAAAAAAACATCTTTAGGGGTGCAGCTCCCTTAGGGGAGTATTGCACAATATTTTCGGTATTTGAATTTTCCTATTGTGATCGATATTTTATTTTTTTCATTTGTGTAGGTACTATGCTCCACACCTCAAAGTCCCACCACGTGACAACGTACGGAACGCAGTCTTTTGAAAATTTGGCATTTAAGGCTTTTCAGGTTATGTAGGTATCTGTCAAAGTATAGTCAACGAAAGAAATAATATTATGTTTAGGCGTTAAAAATGTATAAATCTTTATAACATTACAATAACAATGGATGGTTTAAGAATTTAAGAATATAAATACTGCATTTAATGAAATTCTAAAGTGTATGGTGCCAAATAAGTAATATTTTTGTGCATTTGGTCCAAATATCTGGTTTTCTCCATAAAATAATTTTAACTAAACAGCATTTTTTCTCTATTATGAAATAAGAATATTTGTATTAAAGGTAGGTTAATATATTATAACAAAAATATCATCTAATTTTGTAATTTTAAGGTTAGAAAAATTTATTTTGACCCAAATTAATAAGTATTTTGGATTATTTAAAAGACAGTATAATATGGTATTTAAAAATGTGGTAGTTTTTCTTATCCAGCTTAAAGTGTACCTACATAAAGTTTTGTCAATACAAATAGTTAAAAAGCTTCGACTGAATTTGATCTACATCAAAAAATCATTATAACTTTAAAATTTTTAATAAATCACATGTCATGGGAGTATTAAATATTTTCACATTGCAAGTTTCTCTAAACATTGTTTGTTTTCTTATAATCTAACTTAAAGTAAGTATGCCGAGAGGTATGCACAAGTTTTGTCGTTAGAAGTATCAAGCTTATCAATTTAATTTAATTAATTTAATTTTTTCTAACCTTAAAATACAAAATTAGATGATATTTTTTGTTCTAATACATTAACCTACCTTTGATACAGATATTCTTATTTAATAATAGAGAAGTTAGATTTTTTTTAATATATGCTGTTTAGTTAAAACTATTTTATGGAGAAATGTAGACCCAATGCACAAAAATATCACTTATATTGCACCTTACACTTTGGAATTTCATTAAATGCAGTATTTATATTTCTAAATTCTTAAACCAACCATTTTCATTGTGATACTATAAAGATTTATTAACTTTTAACGCTTAAACATAAGCGGTAACACTATAAATATTATTTCTTTCATTGACTATACTTTGACAGATACATAACTTGAAAAGCCTTAAATGCCAAATTTTCAAAAGACTGCGTTCCGTACGTGGTCACGTGGTGGGACTTTGAGGTGTGGAGCATAGTACGTTTATATTAAAACTACCTATTTTATAAATTATTTTTTTTTGAATGAATGTTGATTTAAATGTTATTTTTTATATATTATTAGTGAAGCTTGTGGAAGGGAATCGGTAAAATGGTAAAAAAGGTGAACGGGAGCATGGTGTTCTGGATGAGAGAAAGAGAGACACAAAACAAAAACAAAGAAAATGGATGATTGAGACCCACCGTCAGGGCAGCGCTTCCGGCCAGGTCCATGAAACGGCAGTGAGCGGCGGCGGCGGCGGGGCCAGGGGTGGGGCTGAGTGGGGCGGAGTGGCGTGCAGCGGCTTGTGCCCCATTGTCTCGGCCGCCGCTTGGCTGCGGCACACGCGACACCGAATTTTGTTTGTTTGTTTGATTGTTTCAATTTTAATTTTCAATTTTAATTGTTCACATACTCTTTCCCTCTGACACGGCAGCACGTACGGGTTTAAAGTACTAGCGCGCAACGGCTGGCCCGAAGACTGTCTCGGCGCAACGGTCAGCTCCGTCATCGGCTGCTGCGGGTGCTACCGGCAGCGCGACGCTGTCAAATGCCACCAGAAAAAAATATAACAAGAACCAAATTTTTTTCTTTGCTTTTGAAATGTTTTTTTGTGTTTGCAACATTGTCAAGTTTATAATTTCAAAGAAAATTTACGCTCACGTTAATTATTATTATTATTATTAGTATTAATAAGAGGCTTAATGAAGTTTATGTGACTTCTGGAACCCGATGAATTTAAATCTCAAATAACTTTTTTATTTGATGTCGGATTGAAACGAATATTAAAGAATATTGTAGATAAATTAATGGACAATCGCTCACATTTTAAAAAATTAATAAAAAATGTACGTTTGTTTATAATATACATGTTTAAACAAAAATATGTTTTTTACCATAAGTTTAAGACACTCTGTAGAGTGGCAAAACCGTATATTGTTCTAAATTAGTTTTATTTATCAAGTCACATCTATTCTTAACAGTTTTGTTTTTGGTTCACCTCGATATATTTATTTTTGTGGGAAATATGGATTTTTTTAACATTGAAAATTGCAATGTTTTTTTAAAAAAATCTATATTTTCCACAAAAATAAATATATCAAGGTGAACCAAAAACAAAACTGTTAAAAATAGATGTGACTTGATAATTAAAACTTAATTTAGAACAATATACGGTTTTGCCACTCTACAGAGTGTCTTAAACTTATGGTAAAAAACATCTTTTTGTTTAAACCTGTATATTATAAACGTACGTGTATTTTTTATAAATTTTTAAAATGTGACCGATTCTTCATTAATGTGTCTACAATATTCTTTAGTATTTGTTTGAATCCGAAATAAAATAAAAAAGTTATTTGCGATTGAAATTCATCGAAAATTTGTGTTGATCGATTATTTTACCTTTGAGTGTATATTGTTTACATTTATGTAAACAATTATACTTCAAAATATTATTTTCCCATCGTAACGGCTGTATGAGGCGCCGTTTGTGTCAAAATTAAAAGTGCTAAATAAACTTATTTTGTTTTATAAATAATTAATTATATGCTTTATAAAATTATTATTACTTTTGATTCGCAGAAAATTATTTTATAAAAAAATAATTTTATAAAAAAAAGTTATTTTATAAAAAAATTATTTTATAAAGAAATAATTTTATAAAAAAAAATTATTTTATAAAAAAAAATTATTTTATAAAAAAATAATTTTATAAAAAAAAATTATTTTATAAAAAAAAAATATTTTATAAAAAAAAATTATTTTATAAAAAAATAATTTTATAAAAAAAAATTATTTTATAAAAGACGACGGGCGCATTTATAAATTAATTTTTACTGCAGCCATCTCTCTTTGTTTGTAGACACTCGAGTAAACCCGAGTGAACCCGAACGCCCTTCGCCAGATACAATTTTATGACGGACTCTGCTTTTGTTTGACGCAATTTGGGGAAACGATTGAAATAATAATTTATTATTTTTATTAATTGATTAATTAATTTTTTTATCTACATTTATTTTGATTTTTAGTTTTTAACAAGAATTCTTTATGTTTAAACGTTTTTTATAAGAAAGCACTTTTAGTTAAATGCAAAACAAATAATGATTTACACCTTTATCTAATAATTAACTGTTAAAATTGATTACCTTACATTTTAAATATCTAAATTTATAAAAGTAAATTAACTTAACCTTTAATTCGACACCTGAGTCCCCGGGACTCCCTCCCGTAAAAGATGAA